GGAAGCCGATTGGCCGAGTCGCCTAGGAGCCGGGCAACGTGGACCGGAAATCTGATCACGTGACCCGGAAGCGGGCTTCGGTCGGAGCCGGTGCGCTTGCGCACTGGCGCCCCTGCCTCCGGAATGCGGGCGGGGTGGCGGCTTCCCAGTCTCATCAGTGGTGGGTGCGCGGAGTTCCGTGGCGACCTTTGCAGATTCTGCCATGCAGGGGATTGAAGTTCCTGACCTGGAAAGAGCCACGTTCGAGCTCAGATGACTTTCCCTGCCCTTAGAGGCTGGGACAAGGGAAGTGTGACTGCGGAGGACGATGAGGGAGGGCGCCTGCAATTCCAGGGAAATCGAGCCCACTCTTTAGTGGAGCTCATTGCAAGCGGCCAGAGGGCCTTTTGCAAATGTTCTGCCTCATAACTCGCCGGAACCCGGCCCCTCCTCATTGCGGGGCCGCAGCCCTAGTCTACACTCCTTTCTCCCAAGGCTTTGCAAGAGTCCCCTCCCTAGGTTTGTCTCGCCCTTCCTCTGTGCTGCTGACCCAATGTGCCACTGACCGATTGCAGCTGAAAAATTCAAGACACATTCATCACCGAGATAAAACCCTGTTGCCTGCCCCGGGGGCCGTCCCTCCTCGACCGGGTCCAGTTTAGCTTTGCTGACGCATTCCCATTTACTCAAATGTCCCCCCTAGTAAAGCCTGACCCTAAAAGCCTGTAGTGTACGAAGGACAACTTCGCGCCCTCACCCGTGTGCTCCTTGATTTCCATTTAGCACACGATGTAGAATTGCATTCCATTTTGCATCCACAACCTAATCCACACCCTGGCGTGTAACAACTAATAAATATGTGAGTTGACTGATAACAGACTAAATGATAGATACGTCAAGAACAGGAATGCTGAGCCTAGTGGCTGGCGCATAATAGATGTTCTTGCGGAGTGCAGTGCGGGGGTGCGAGAGGGAGGACTGAAAGAATTGATGAATCATCTAGTTCAACTCATCTTTTACAGATGAGGAAAGGAGAGCCCCTCCGGATTTAAGTGACCTTGCTTGAGCAGCCACGAGTTTCCTCGTGTCGAATGCTATTCATTACCCCAATCTCCTGGGTTCTTACAAAAGGGAGCTCGAAAATTGTTCTTTTTGGACCCTGCCCTTGCAGAGGTTCTCCAACAGTCTCACGATTTTTTTTAATGGCTCCCAGTTAAAAAAAAAGCAAGTTTTCCCACTACCCTACATTTAATCAATTTGAAGAAATTTTGTATTAGGGACCGTGCCTATGACTGTCTTGATGATAGGGACCTGAGGGCATTTAAAACATTTAATAGCAGGAAGGGAACATTGGAACGATTCAGCCATGTCAATAAGATATTATTTGAAAAAAAGATTTAATAGCAAAATAAAAATTGATACTACTTTCCTTTGTTAAACACTAGGATTTCTGCTTGGGAATTTTTCTACTAACCTGTATGAGTAATTGAATACTGGAATGCGCAAGAAGCTGGCTCTCTGTAGTTCTTTTAGGGCCCCTGCCCAAATTGCTCCCTGCCCAGTCATGCCCCTAAGACACAATTCCATGCCCCCTTTCTCCCTAACTACACAAAACAGATGTTATTCATTCAAAAGGAGCTCTGATACTAGGCAGTGAAACCCGCCCTCTAATTCCAAATGCTGCCTTCTTTTTTTCTGTACAAAATGCCTGTTTCCCCAGGGTTCCTGTGATAGCCACCTCCAAGTTTAAACTCATTGGTTATGTGCCTGATGTTAGTTGGTGGCTCAGAAAAGGACAGGAACCTTGCTGATTACACATTGGCAGTCAGTGGGGTTTGTAGCCCTAAAAATGGGGGTGGAGGGGGAATGGAGAAGGAATTGTGGGAAAAATAATTAACTGCTGAAAGCAACTATTACATAATCTTGGCTGCTTATTAATTTAGCAGAAGGAAAGGCTTATTTTAATAGCAATAGCACAACTGCAAACAGCCTACCAATTAAGACCGAAGGGCCCATTATTTTGCTAATATGTTCTCTTCGTTTGGCAAGTGTATGAGAACAAAATTTATTGAAGCAGATGGCCTTTTTCGGTAGCTTGTAGATGGCTGATTCCCTAGTCTTAATATTAAGTGCTAATTGTGCATTCACCATGAAAGACAAAGGGAGCCCTGCAGTCGTCGTTGTTAGTAATTAACGGCTCAACTCTGATTGCCAAAATTTCCCAATGGTGGGCTTTATTATATCCACATTTCTCACTGAGCATCTTCTTCATCTGTCATTCCAATAGGGTGGGTGTCTTTTTTTAAATCCCCTGTTTATGTTATATCATAGGTAGTACAAAAACTATTTTCATGAAGAATTTAAGAATCAGGTTTGATCATTGTCCTTTTCAATTTTTTTCTTTTTGATACACAGTTTTCATTTATTCCAAACACCCAAGGTCAGACTGGTGGAAGTCCCTAGACTACAGCCCTTGCTCACCCTTCAGGTCTGGAAATGAACTCACCCCTCACACTCAATTTTCA